CTTTTTGAGCAAAATCGGAATGAATCGTTCTCGTGTGTGTGTGTGTGTGTGTGTGTGTGTGTGTGTGTGTGAGAGAGAGAGAGAGAGAGAGAGACAGAGAGAGAGAGACAGAGAGAGAGAGAGAGAGAAGCATGAGGCCAGCCGCCGGGTTGGAGACTTACCTGTAGGCCGGTGCTTTGGTCATCTTATCGATGGAAAACTCTCTCTCTGCCTCCCCCCCCCCTCTCTCTCTCTCTCTCTCTCTCACACACACACACACACACACACACACACACAACGCTGCGTGTGTCTGAAGACAGGAAGCACAGCCGCCCAAAGCTGCGTGTGTCCGAAGACAGGAAGCACAGCCGCCCACGCACCTCGAAAAAAGAAGTCGCGATGTCACAAAAAAACAACAACAACAGCAATGCATTCTGCCGCCTTCGCGCTATGGGTTCCGACCGGAATAAAAAGGTTCCAGACCCTTCTGAAAAAACGCGGCCGCTGTCACAAAAAAAAAAAAAAAACCACCAGCAATGCATTCTGCCGCCTTCGCGCGATCGGTTCCGATCCCGAGAAGCCCGCTCGCGACCCTTCTGGAAAAACGCCGCCAGCCGCTTACAAAGAAAAACGCCGGGAATGTATGTACCTCCTTTCTCGGCCCAGGGAGGGCACTTCCCGGCTCCGGGCCGCCCTGTTTCGAGCTCCGATCTCGGCCCCAGGGTCGCACACCGTCGGCTCCCCCTTGCCCGCTGCCCAAGAGCGGCCCCGCGCGGCTGCGCCTGGTTTCTCTTGGGCCCCACGCGAGGACCGCTTCTTCCTTCAGTAGTATATAGATATAGATATAGATATAGATAGATAGATTTGCCCGCCGATGCCCGGGCGATGTACTGCCGGTTTTAGGGTTCCTTCTCAGAGTCTCACAATCACCCACAACAGAAGCACTGGGGTTCTTGGGAATCATGAAAGACCCATATGCCAGACATGCAGAGCTTACATGATAATCAACCGACCAGAGCAAAGCTCTCGGAGTCAGACATACAAAGAGATACCAGAAACAGAGAGGTGCAGAAATGGACTCGAGGTTGAGAGACTTAATGGGCAAAGAACCTCATTGAGTCTGAGTCTCTCATTCTGTGAGCGAATCCACCCATTCACCTCAGAGCAGAATAGACGTAAGAGTCAAGAAACCCCGCCGATATGACTCAAGCTGAAGAAGAGGAAGGTGGACAGGTTCGGTCAGTTTCAGCTAGATTTGTGAACCGCTCAGGCACATGTTGGAATACAAGTACACATGCTCACACACATTTTGGAATACAAGCGCACATGCTCACGCACATGTTGGAATACAAGTACACATGCTCGCGCACATATCGGAATACAAGTACACTGTACACATGCTCACACACATGTTGGAATCCAAGTACATAGATTTGTGAACCGCTCCGCTCACGCACATGTTGGAATCCAAGTACATAGATTTGTGAACCACTCCGCTCACGCACATGTTGGAATCCAAGCACATGTTGGAATACAAGTACACATGCTCACGCACATGTTGGAATACGAGTACACATGCTCACACACATGTTGGAATGCAACTACACATTCTCACACACATGTTGGAATGCAACTACTCATTCTCACACACATGTTCGAATACAAGTACAGATGCTCGCGCACATGTTCGAATACAAGTCCACATGCTGATGCACATGTTCGAATACAAGTCCACATGCTGACGCACATGTTCGAATACAAGTCCACATGTTGAC